CCAGGTGCGACTTGTTGGTAGTTCTCGGTCGTTTACCTGTAACTACAAGGTGGGACGCTTTCCTGACCGTTCCAACTCATTCAATTCTCAACCAAGCGCATCTGACGGACTTTCGCGTTCACTCGTGATGGGCGTCTCACGTTCAACAAAGTTCTCGCACCCACAAGCGCCGGAAGCGGACTCAAAGAACTCTACACCACCAATACCACAAGCTGTACAACATCTACAGAACTTACTACAACATACTGCATTACTATAGTACAACATATTCCAACCACCTGTGGACATCCCAGGTATGTTGGCCAAGTTGGCAAGGCCAGCTCCCGCGACCAGCCGCGGACGACCCGAGCTCCGCGGTGTCACCGTGTCACGCTCCGCGGCGGTCCTGGGGTCCGAACTGTACCATCCAAGAGATCATGGAATGGGTACCCGCTGTACCATCCAGCTGTACCATCCAAGCTGTGAGATCATCACTTTTCCGCGTCTTTGGACACCCGCCCTTTGGCTTTGTCAAGGAAAAAATGACATTTCTAGAAGATGTTAGGCATGTTTCACGCGAAAGCGGAGCATGGGAAAGCCAGGAAGTTCATCCGGATTGAACCAAGTCATTGTCCATCAGGTTCTGAGTTGGTCACCTGACCTGGGATTTTACACGGGCTGTTTGTAGGGGTTGCTTGGAGTGCCCCATCCTTATCTATCTAGGAGTTGGTCACTTGTCCCAGCATGTAAAGGCAGTCTCTGGTGATTTGTGGACACTCCTTATCCATGGCTGCTGGATGTTTGACATTCTAAGACGAAATCTGTCTCAATCGCACCAACTTCTGGACGTTTGTTTCGAGGTCCACAAAAGGAGTTGGCTGAAACCTCCACACTTCGGGAGCAAAGCATCGTGGTTCGGTTTCGGAGTGGTTCGTTTCGTGGTGTTTCCAGGTCACCGTCGCCATGCTGGAGAGAAACTTGTTGAGACTTCACAAGAACTTCAACGACAAGGCGCCACGTTCCCCACACTTCGACGTTGTTTCATTCTTTTTTCCCAGGGCAGCCGAGGGTTTGGGTGGAGCTCGAACGGGGTCGTGGTGCCCAGGTATGGGTGCAACATGGAATTATAGAGCATTCGCACATCGTGCCCGTTAAAGGCACCGCAACGGAACACCTATACTTTGATTTTGACCTGGCAACTAGCGGAGGGCATGCGGAGTGCTGGGTTTGTGGTACGGGTGTTCTCCTGTGTGACTGTCACTTCTTCACTTCTAGATTCTAGTTCATTGAGGATGGACATGTACATTGCCTCAGTGAATGTTTCAGGTCTTGAGTTCTGAGGCATCCCCAACATCGTTCTTTCGGGGAACCGGTCATTTTTTCCAATCAAATCCCTCAGTCTCCGTTCGCCCACATTCCATTTGCCACACCCTTTTGGTGAAAGGAAGAACCCAGCTTCATGTGCTTCACCCGTGCCCCCACTCTTCTTCCATGTCATGTCCCAGCCTGGCCGCGGTTTTGGACTAGAGACCCGTTGGGGGTCCAGGGTTTTGCGGGTCTGTTCGACCAGGTCAAAGAAGGCAAAGGCGGCGATTTCTACCTCTCGCCCGATCCACCCAGGGGCAGTGGAGAAAACAAGTGCCAGGGGGGCATACCGGGTAAATTGGACTTTTTGTGGTTTTGGAAATGACGTTGGTGAAAGATAGTACTGTATACTCAGTGAAATAATCATGTATAGAAGTGGAAAAGGCTTATGGTTTTCGACTTCCATGGAATGTGACTGAATGAAATCTCTTTTTGTTTCTCAGCTTGGATAGCTTGGATTCGGATGGGGTGCGCAACCAAAATCTGAAACAGGATCAGAACGCCTCGGCACCTTGGGTGGGTGAATGTTCATGTCCCCAACAATCCTTGGACCTTCCACAGCAGGGTATGGACCCTCCCATAGCAGGGGTTTTGACCCTCAAAACCCTTAGGGGTGCCTTTCTAAGCGTACTCTTTGACAAACCGCTGAGTGCCGGCGCTCTCAGGTGATGGGTGGATTTTGGAGAAATCTCCCAGCACACTGAGTGGTCGGTCTTCTCTGACTGGAGGTCGGGTTTCATAGACTCACATACTGAAAAAGGAAGGGTGCTGGAAATTGAAGATGTTGAACATTCCAGCATTTTGGACCATTTGGGGCAGTGGGCCCGACTCAGTTTCAAGCGCCGCGTTTCAGGGAGTCTATGAGTCTATGTTTCATATCTTTTTCTGGACCTAACAATAGCGGTCCGGACTTCGCCGAGCTTTTGAAGCCCTCTCTTGTGCCATCCATTGCCTTGCAGCGAACACATGCACGACTCACGAAACATCTCGCGGCCGTTTGGAGCTGCCGCAGCAGGTTGTCCGTGAAAGGTGATCTGAGGCAGGTTGTAGGATCAAAGGGTAGGGGTGAGGCAGGTTGGTTGTAGGCTCTTAAAAGCATCTATTACTCGTTCTTCAACGTGACCGAACTTGATCTCCTGGTCTGGGGTCAAAAAGGGCCTGTGAAAGGTCACTTAGGGACTCCAAAATGATCACGAACGGAAGATATCATTTTCACAACTTTTCACAGACCGATGAAAACAGCGCATCGCAGGGTGCGCGATGCGGGTCGCACTTGTTGAGTGAGCTTCTCACTGCAATACAATGGAGTCTTCCAGGGCACTCTCGTCTGGCGCGTCCGGTTTTGAGGAGTCACCAGACACCAGACTCGGCTGGAGATGGTGGCCCTAAGACGCCACGGTGAGCACTACTTATTCCGTTTTGTCACAGAGGGATTGAATCCTGAAGAGTTTGACTGCCGTTTTGAAAGAGAACTCCAGTACTTCGAGACGACATCGAGACGTTTCTTTTGTATCGAGTGCGAGCGCGCGCGTGCGGGCGAGTGACTTTTGGTCGGGTCTCTGACCCCCACAGCCGGCGAGAGAAACGTGGCCTTCTGCTGGTGGGACCCGGTGGGAGTTTGTTCAAAATCATGTGGGGTTGTGAGAGGATGTTTTGCCATCTTCTGATTGCATCCGCTTTTGTGCATATTGTTTCTGACTGGAGAGATGAAAGAGCTTTTGAGTTTTGTCGCCAACAAACCCAACTCTCTCTCTCTCTCTCTGTGTTTTTTTTCCAACTGTTGCTGCCATAGGATTCCCACCTCCTATTTCTGAAGTTCCCTCAAAAGAGGGCTCCACCTGGAGAATCAGAAGGTGTTCCTACCCTTGCCGGCTTTGGACGCCGCCGCTGCGTCCAAGCTTTGGCCCAAGGTAGGCCCTGTTTCAGACCGCTACAGGCTGCATGAGAAGGTGCACCAAGAGAAGACCAGTCAGAAGCAGCTAGACCTCTGAGACCGCAGGACCCTCCTTGGAGGATGTCTATTTATAGCCCCTTAACTGTGATTCGGGGTGTCCATTAAAGAACCCCTTGAAGGCCCTGGTCTGAACTAGTAGTGATCAAGAGGTGCTTGACCGTGACCCTCCAAGAGGTGCTTCCTGGTGATGGAAACGCCCTTCGGGTGCCCAGACACCTTCAATACGAAACCCCCCAAAACAGGCGATGGAACGGAGTGTCTCTGGAATTCCTTTAACGGTTCACCAGGAAAGAAACACATCTCATGCATGGAATCGCCGTCGCTTCACTCTGAACAAGGATCAGCCGAAAAAAAATCGGCTGAACATCAGTGCTTGGATGTGATATAACTGTGCTTGGATGTGCTTGGTGTCAAGTGGGCCATTTTTGTGATCCCTCCATTGTTAGCAACTCTAAGGAGAATCAGAACTGGGTGACACAACTCTCCGTGCAAGTAGGCTGAAGGTGAAGCCCATTGTGTCGCATAGACGCGTCCCGCGTCGTCCTCATAACATCAGGTGAAGACATCCTCTCGGAGCAGTGGCCTCTTGGGGGGGGGCCGGAGGAGGACCAAAGGCTAGGTGTCCTGAACAGTGGCACTCCAAACCTTTCCAACGTCGGCTCCAAAGCTGTTTGGAACCAGAGCTGTCCTCCTCCAGCCATTCAACCACCGACCTGGCGACCCCCACCCGTGCCATGCGACCTGACCTCGCGAGCCATGGGCACGACGACCTTTCCTTCGGACTTGGGGCCGCCCTTCTCGCCCGAGGCGGAAAGCTTAGCTGAGGCTGTCGGCTCCACTCTCACAGTCGACATATTTTGCCCAAGAGGAAGCAATCGAGTCAACTGCGGCGAATTATAGTGTTATTTTTTATTCACTCCACAAACACGATATTTTTTTTACTTCTTTGAACTCTTCCGAAAAAGCCCCCAAAATGCCCCCCGTAAGAACGCACCACTGCTTTTGCCTCGAGAGGTGCAGAACCTCGAGCGCTCGGCAGGGCTTCCTGCGCCATGCTTCAGCACCTTGGGCAGTCGACCGTCGCCGGGTCGCTGGGGCTCGAGGTTCGCTCAGGTCTGAGGTGCACCACAACTTAGACACGACCTGTCTGGGACTGGCACATGTAGCATACGTACATTGGGATGGTTGACCTGGTGTCAATGGCGGCATATAAAAGACGTAAAAGAGACCCATTTGTCTTGTCTGGAACGGAGTTCCCTGCGACCTCTGAGGTGATGTCCTGGAGGCCAAGTGTTGGGGTTTGGTCTGGCCAGGGGGAAGCGGGTAGGTTGGTCTTGTACGGGGTCTGATGGTGATCCAAATGTTGAGGAATTCCAAGATTTAGTGCCTTTGGAGAGGAGTGAAAGATGATTCTTACTTTCCTATTCCGGACTGGCTGAGCAAGGTGAAGTGGGGGAGGTTCTGGGAGACAGCCGAGTCGGCCCAAGATTCAAAGCGATCAAAAGTGCCAGTACTGGTGAGGGTCGCTGGCCTTGCAAAGTACTTCCCAGGATTTCCAGCTTTGTTCAAAGAACCTCGGGAATGAATTCATGGGCGAACTACGTCGAACTACCCATAGGGCCATAGAGCTCCAACCACCTCCTGAGCCACGATACTTGACCCAGGCTTCTGTGGTTCGTCCTATGCATGAGCTTATCCGTGAATCTATACGTTACCTTCCCTCGCGCAGTACGGTCTTGATGCGTCTCTGTAAGACTACCACCAATAGACTCTCCGAATTGCACAGCTCCAGTGGACGTGCGGATCCCTGACCGTTCGACTGTTCGACCGCTCCGTATCCGCTGCCAGGCGCAGCGCTGGGCGGTGCAGGTGGTGCGCCAGGCGGAGACGGAGGCCGAGCCGGTGGTCGGGGTGCGGGTGTCCGTTTTAGGGAGGCTTGAAGCAACGTTTGCACCTTTTGACTTTTTTGTAACTGGTTTCGTTTCAAAGATGGTTGGTTGGAATAAAGTCAGGGCAGATGCTGTTTTTTTCATTAGCTCATTACTGTAACTGCTCTTATTTGTTTCATTCCTTTGGAAGCACACTGTGCAGGAGATCGCTTACTTCCCATCGAGACTCCTGTTGGTGAGGATTGAGGGGATATTCCTGTTTTTAGATTGGCAGTAAACTATACCCGTGGTTTTTGCCCCCCCCCACACAGTCGAGAGCCTGTGTGGCCTGATCCAGCATTAGTTGCTGCCGTTTTTTCGGCCATAAAAACTGGCTAAGTGTCCCATGAATGTGATCTCGCCAAATGCTTTGACTTACGCTGACAATTCCAGCGCTTCAGATGCTTAGAGGTTTGCCCCGGTGAACGCCGCGCTCTCGTGTGGTGCGTTCGAGGCGTGCCGCAGAGGGATGCGGGGCTCACCCGCTTGGGAAGATGCCTGGCGAGATGCCTTGTGGACCTTGGCAGTGCAAAAGCGCTGCGTGGAGGCCGCTGAAGGGTGAAGGGCTGGAAGACTCCGGGAAGACGGGTTGGGGCAGTGCCTGAGGTTGGCGATCTGATCATCTGATCTCAACTTGTTTGAATCAAAGGAAGCTCCAAACATTGTAAGGATTTTGGCTGCCCACATCCGCCTTGCTTTGGGGAAAGAACGCACAGTGGTGATACGAGATACAAATGCACTCTCCTGGTCCAACCACGTGCAGACTGCAACTACAACTGGTTGACGCAAATCCACCCCGTTTCCACCGGAACTCGCAGGGTGTGTTCCGCGCGACTGGTCCGCGCGATGACATGCAAATGCAGGTGGAAGCGCGTAAATGCTGCAAGAGGCCAGCAGAGCCCCTCCCGCCTGCACCCGCTCCACCGGCCTCCGCGCCGATGCCGCCGCCGCCGATCTCAGAAGAAGCGGCAAAGGAGGCTGAAGATGGCGAGAAGGGAAGAACAGTGGCACAGCTTGGGAGGGCTAAGAGAACAAGAATTTAAGCTTTTGATGATGAGTTGTTCCTTTTGACAGTTGTTTTTTTGTGAATTTTCATGAATTTTCAAAGTTTCGATTGACCCATGTTGGGTGGATTTTAGGCTGATTGGAAATCAATGACCAACAACTAAATCCAAAGCCTCAAGTACTGCCTCAGCCATCCCAATATCATCTCTCAAACTCTCCTTCCAACAGAACATAACAGAACACCTCTAGGCAAATGGATGCAAATGGGAATCTATGGGAAACTGCTCAACTGCTTGTCGTGGCCTGTCATCCATTGATGTGAGCCATTCAATGAACACTTTTTTTCCCTGCAGACGGACATGACATGCATGTAACTAGAACACAACGAAAGACAGGTCTCTTTCCACTGAGCTTTGGGGGACCCACGCTGGAGATCCAGCAGATCAGCAGCGCATAGCAGCGCTAGGACTCCAGTCCTCTCCACCTTCACCCATGATGCTTGTCCAGTCCACCAACAATCACTGGATGTCAGAAAAACAATGAGAGAAAAAGAGCTTCGATGTCACTTTTCACAACGGTTACCTGCACACGGTACTGTGTGTACTGTGTGTACAGTACTGTATTTCTCCCGGAGAGCAAGCGGAGTGAGCCTGCGTCTGCCTCTGCCTCAGGCCATCCGTGCCTTGTCCGGTTAGCGGTTTCATGCGGAGTGGCAGCCGTGGCATCTCGAGAAAACCCTGAGGTGGAAGCTGAAACACAACTCAGCTGGGTGTGGAAGTCAT